TTGTTATACTTTTTAATTATTTATTTGTTTTATTCGAATTATTTTATTTATTCGAAATCACTTGATTTATTTGTTTCATCTGTTTTAACCCTAAATCTGGATCACGGTCCCGGACCGGGCCTTTGATTAGACTGACGGCTTTGGGCCAGACCAGACATTAATAATCCTAATTTCAATAATTATGCTTGCAAGTTTTGATGTTTAATTTGTGTAATTAGTGGTTGTATCTTCAATTATCCAGGTGTTTGAATACTTTGCCAATCAACAAAATTCAACACCTGAATAATTGGTCAAATTAAAAGTTTGGCTCCTGAATGACCATCAACTATTCACCAAATATCCACTGAATCTTGGATTTGTAACTACCTTTGGTTATCCCATGAGCAGATATAAAATGTGAAATATGATTAGATGTATTGTTATGCCACAGCTTACTACAACATCGGTGTCCCAGGTAAATATGCTCCTCAATCAATTGCGACTAGTTGCAACTAATTGTGGCATATAAAAATTGAATTGCGGTTAACCACATTTATGCCACACAATCTAAATTTAAAATTTTATCAAAGAGGAATTATTACCTAAAATTGGAGTCACCAAAACAAAAAGCAATGGTTTAAAAGACTGCAATAAAATGACATAATATTCTTGATTATTTATTTCAGCAACATCATAAAGGCATTATGATGGGCGTGAAAGAGAATATGTTAAAAAGAGTTCTTGGATAAAATGAAAAATACATGTCTGAATATAACGGTGAATTATGGATCAAACACACCCTGATTTACTTGAAAGAGAATGTTTGAAACTATATTCTGTTCTAATTATGGTAACCCTATGGAAAATTTTTGCGGAAAAATAGTACATGCACCGTATGTTTCTCTGAACTACCATACTAACACGGAATATTACTATTACAGTGAAAAAGCACGGATGCATACGGAATATATACAGAATATATACACGAAATATACACTAACACGGAATTTTACTATTACTACTATTATTGTTATTACTATTACTGTTATTATTATTGTTATTATTATACTATTACTATTACGGGATTCGTACTTCCCGTTTTTCCGTATGCATCACGTGGTCTTAATATTAATGTATTGTATACAATACACACACAAAATACATACTATTTTCTTTACTGAAAAATCGATTTTTTAGCAAAATAATTAATTGTTTCTTTCAATTAAATAAAGGCTTGCTTTTTTGAGGTGAAAGAAGAGCCAAAACAAAACCAAACAAAGCATTATAATTACTTTAAATTATTAAAAAAATTGAAAAATTTCGAAAAAACAAACTTTCCCGTTGATTATTATTAATATTAATATTAATTATTATTATGGATATCGATCGGCAGGACATATTTTTTGAAAGATTCCGATAAAAAAATTACCAAACCAGGCATTCCCAAAGGTGATCAAAAATATCAAGATCTACATTTTATTTGTTCTATTTATGTCATTTATGTTAGTCTATTTTGTAAAAATTAATTGTTAAAAAAAAATATTAATACAAAACACAAGAAAAACTTTCTTTAATTGTTAATCCAAATTAGGTCTTGAATAATCAATAACAGTTGACATATAAAGGAAGGCTGTCCTGACTATCAGTCAGTCTCAAAAAAAA